CTAATTAAGGGCACCCCCGGAAGTTATAGTGACCGGCACCATTTTTCAATGATAAACTCCATCCGGAAACCAAGAAGTGGAGCCATTTGTTTTGAGCCGTTCATTCAAATCAGAGAAAACCTCAAAGATTCAAGGCGATTCCACTGAGCAGGTAGAGGCTTCCAACCCCTTTTTTCTATGTAGACTTCCTTCCCTACTAACAATGGTGGGATCCAGGACTGCTTAGTCTCAGCGATTCTCTCTTTACAAGGATGGACCCTCTTGAATCCGGAATTCGACCTGGTTCAAATCCTCGTGCACATTTCAGAGCTGCCCTGATGATAGAGGATGAACGGCGTATAGCAGAACTTTCGATTTTTTTCAAGCATACCTACATTTTGCTCAAAATGCGCCATGCTTTGTACTATAGTAAAAATCATAATTCCATTTGAATGCGTAGATGGCCTTTATACTGAAATGCGAGGGTTAGCTGGTCCCATTGCAGCTTCCTCATTCATACAGACCACTGGAGTTTCCTAGAAAACGCCCATGTGCTTAGCTTAGCCACATGAGCCTTCTCTAAAAGCCTGGTCTGTTCGTACGAACTTTCAATTTTCCATATCAACTTTCATCTGGACCATCAGAATTGAATGGCTCAGAAGAATGGGCTCATGTGGCTGAAGATTCGGTTTGGCTAGAACGCCTTGGGTGATGTGGGAATTTTACTTCCCATTGCATTTCAGTTTCCGTCTCTATGACAAATTCTAATAAAACATTTATTTTTAACAGCCTAGACATATTGATCGACTATGCCGCCTTGCCACAATGGGAACACTTCCATTCGACCGCTACGGGCGTCCGTGAAACGGTTGCCACAATGGGAACACTTCCATTCGACCACTACGGGCGTCCGTGAAACGGTATAAATGGTAACATCGTACCAGATCCGATAGTAGACGGAACTGAAATGATTGGGTTCATAAAGTAGTCATTAAAAATGCCAAAAAGGAGAACAGCAAGAAGAGACGCGTGCGGTCGCGTGCGATCTAGATGTCTTACCGATTGCATTCTGTTGTTACCGATTTGGACGAACCACCACTTTAAACCATTATCTTCACATCGCACTACTGGGAAGTGATACACCTGAATAATGATCACAATTGAAAACTTGTAGCGGCCAAGTTATTCTTAGGTTTTATCAAGTTAACCCAACTCATTGGGGCGTCGCCCAGACCAAATGGTTAGTATTGCTTGAGTAGCTTACTTGCTCTTTTCAAACGGACTGGCCCTATCCCAAACGAAACTCGGGTCCACTCCTCTGAATTGGATTGTCATTCTACAGTAACCCCTACTACATTAATTTAAGGCGTCANGTAGGGGATAGAGTGCCCCGGGGCGAACCTCGAGCTCCCAGAACACCCTTTATGCTCAGTAGATGGCTGACCAGAACCATCTCGAATCATTACGCTCACCTACAAAGCGACCAGTGAAGCTTGCTGTCTTGAGGAATTCACCAGAAGGTGACCCTAGAGATACTCATCCATTTAGGAGCCCTTTACTCTTATGGGTCCTATGGGCCCTTTCCCAACCATTCGAATCATGATTCTACACGCTAACCTCATTTTTCGTGTTTCTGTGCACTAAATACAATCGTATAGCCGAATCAACATCGTTACTGCGTTCATTTCTGTAGTAAAGGGCAAAGTCATCAGCCTTCACATGTTCTTCGGCCTGGAAAAGGAAAGTAAAAAAATGAAGTTTCGACGTCAATGGGTCTCTCTCCTACAATGCTCCCATGCATCCGACTTCTGCCTAGAGTCGTAGCAACGATTGAATGAGTATAAGGCGTATACAATGAACTAAGAGGACGGCCAGTACCTCTTTATTTCACTACACTCATCCTCCCTGATAAGTCTGGTACCAATTGGTGGACCTCGAAGGAATAGAAAGCTTGGTTGGTCTAGGCAAGAAACACTCCAGCGTCAAAAGCCGGCAGAATTAAAAGTATTTCTCAATATTCAGTCTGGATCTCAAGAGACATCGAACGAACAGCAATACCACCGCCAGCGCCATGGTTAGATTCTATCCGGGAAGCTCTTCGAGGAAAAATTGTATACCTCTCGTCACCCGAAGAGAGCAAGGTTCATAAGATCCACTGGACTACAATGGCTCGCAAAAGGGGCAGGCAGAGACGTTACTGGCACTTGTTCGAGCGAATCCGTGATTAGGTAATCCTGCTAATCCGGAAAGAGTGACAGATCATTCTTACCTCCTTGCTTGTTTTGATTCCAATGAAGTGCTCCTCGATGGGTGTGTCCACCTTAGGGTGATACTGTAAAGCACATTAACTCTTTTGAACCTTTCGATTACAACCTTTCAACTTGAACTATGGTAGCGTAGAGTAAAACTCACTTCTGAATCGATCCTAGGAAGGGGCTCCAAATCGGATTGTTTATCTTCACGGATGTAAATGGGATCAACATCAGAATCCTGACAAAATGCCCATTTCACAACTATACCATGCCAATCACCATTTTCACAGTGAAATAGGTATGCCAAATCTAATTGTGAGTACTCACTGGCTCTGACCATGAATCCTGTTCGCTGGTATAGTGACGATGGCCTTGTACTCTACTTTCCTACAAACGCCCTCGGTTAAATTTGGGGCTATGAGAATCACCATGTTGGCTTTTTGTACACAAACTTCTAGATTTACCGATTTATAAGGCAACCTATGTTTCGGCTCAGGATGTTGTTCCCGAACGGACTGGAGCGCTGTCGGAAGGCAGGGTGTGAAAGTAAGTTGTGTACCCAGCTAGTGGATGATTACGACAAATGTCACGAAATCCCTGCCACGTACGTGCGTGCGACCTGGGGAAGTGAGGTAGAAGACCTGCTACCCCGATTCTCGGTTACAGAGCTAACCATGTGGAGCATACTGGATCAAAATTTTATAGGATAATGTGTATTGCTTCTTGTATAGCCGATTTCTACGACGAAGGTGGATTCGCAGTGGGTGATCATGGTAGTAACCGCTTCCAATTCGACGGCCTCGGGGACTTACACGTGCGTAATGGATACCACATGCATGCGTTTAGAATCATTTTCCATTTCAAGCTACCGAAAGGCATAGCAGCTATGCGACCTGTGAGTGTGTTCAAGGCCGCGTTCATACTCGACTAATAATCGTCACGCGGCTTTGCGATTTCTCATACGCACAAATGAGGTAGTGTTGTAAACGAAGAGACAGAGACCGGCAGAGTAGAACCACCTCGTAGTTCAATGTATTTGATAACCGCTTCTGAAGGCAAGCGTAGCATGGGTTATGGTTAGAGATGAGCTATCGAGGTGTCCGCGCAGACAGGTTCGCCACAGACAAAGACTTCAGAAGGCTCTCCTATATCGTAGCTCTGATGTTTTGTTAGATGTCAACAGAGCGATGCCTCTCCTCTGAAGGAACGCTTTTCTCCCGATCTCTTTTTCTCATGCAAGTTTTTTTGTATAGTTCTTTCTACTTTATGGATTCATTGTTTTTAAGCTTACCGTATCCGTTTCTTCTTCACCACTTGTTGGTTCCGTGTTGGTCGGTAGCCCGCTGTTAAACCTGAGGCAAAGTTCTGTTAGTGATCGCGATATATTCATTCTGAGAAGTAGTAATTAGTAAGTCAATAAACTCGATGGACTCACGCCTGACTCTGTTCTGCAATCACGTAAGGGTTTTGTAGTGCCATAAACAATACGCTGCTTGTTTGTAGACTATAGTACAATATGAATGAAACTTACCCGTTCATAATGTCTAAAGCATTACAATCACTTTTGTTTACAGCTTTCGACTGTTTGATCAACAACTATTATTTGTTCATTCATTCACTGCCAGGCTTAGGTGGCTGCTTTGAGAGTATGTAATGGCATGCTACACTATCGCGCATCGCTGTCCGCTTCGAATGCACTGAAACCGCGAATATCGATCGAAAGCGGGGAAGTAGCCAAGATATAGCAACGCGAACTCTGAACGCAACCAGCACTTCCGTTGAACCATGGAATAAGAGCAAATTTTGTTCTCTGTAAATTTTTTTCAAATACGATTTTGTTTTACACATCATCTCGTCCCGCTTAACATCGATTAGCTCGAGGGAGCGCCAGTAACGCCTCCCTTGATCCTGTCGTGTGTCAATATAGTCTAGTAGCTTTTCCTCGTTCAAAGAACGCAAGGCATACCATTCTTTTGACTCAAAGCTTCACCTGAAGAAATCAAGGGACGGAGTAAGCTGTCAACTCCCGATTACCCCAAGAAAGTCTGAGGATTGCCAAGAAGAAGGGCGTAATTTCTCGAAACTGTACTGAACCTAGAACACCTAGAACACCTAAAACTTAGAACAAAATGCTAATAGTTTTTTCTGTTCAACTTCTCGGAAGGCTTTCGGAACTTAAAAGTTTTCAGTCCTTCGGATCTTTGAGTAGATGAATCATCAAGAGGGTTAAGACTACAATGTACCATTTTCTGTTCTTTCGAGAAAGATCATCTTATCTTATCAGTAAGAACTTCGACACGCCGAACTTGCTGTCGTCAGTCATGCTGCAACTCTACACTTCCTGTATCATGCTCTGCTAATGCCACCTCAATGCTCTTTGATTGACGTCGTTATTTTGAATGAATGAAGATAAATCTTGAATGGGCTCGCATACGTTTTGCCCACTCCACTATGGCTTTTTACCCCTATTATCCTTCTTTACTTGTACCTGGGAGGAGGCGATGTAGTGCCAAGTGGCGCACTCTCTCGCCTGCGTGTTCCGGGGATCGAACTCCCCGAACCGATTTCGCTGAGCTCATTCAAGCTTTTCATTTCTCCTGGATCGGCTGATTAGTATTGGACTCGTCTGGGAGGATAAAACCACTGACACGTACATCGNAGTGGCGCACTCTCTCGCCTGCGTGTTCCGGGGATCGAACTCCCCGAACCGATTTGGCTGAGCTCATTCAAGCTTTTCATTTCTCCTGGATTGGCTAATTAGTAATGGGCTCGTCCGGGAGGATCAAACCAGTGACACGTACATCGGCTTACAGTCGCTACTCATTGTATTGGGAGGGAAATGGGGGCGCATTTCTATAGCAGGATTGATGGAAGCTAGAAGACTTACTCCGTTACTTTTTTTGCCTTTATTAAATTAGTTTGAAAGTAAGAATCAGAGTTCCTCCACTACGTCAGCGCTGTTCCTCGTGAACCTCAGGAACCCTCTACACAGACCCCTTACAGTGCAGGAGATTTTTTGATGGATCTTGAAGGCGTAAAAGGCCTGACTAGAACTTTACTAATGCTTGCAAAATCGGCATTCCTGATTGATTCCTCAGTCATATTTCCAAGATTTGATAGATGGGGCATGAGATGTATTTAGGCTGCCTTACTTCCTTACCCAGGTTTTTTTTTGAAATCCCATTAGAGCACGCAGTTTGTGGGTAACGATCTGATATCAGAGAATACCTGCAGTCTGTAAGCTGTAAAAAGTCATAAAACTCGGTGCAAAAGTACAAAATACAGAAACCCCGACCATATAGGCAGTTTGTTTGGCGAAAGATAGCGTTCGGAAGATGATCGCAGCTTTTTTACTTTTTTTATTTTTATATAGCTGTATTTACTTCACTTCTACCACAGCCCACAAAAGACTGTCAGGGACCTTTTGCAGGTAATCCAAATGGAGCGTAGGGCAAAATCAGTAGACGCAAAGAAAAGGCTTGCTGTCACAACTCCAACCAAACCACAGCGACCAGCGAAACGGGTGGCAATTGTTGGGGCAGGACCAAGTGGTCTTCCATCAGCAAGGTGGGCTAGCCATATATGTGCAATACCCCAGTAGACAGTAGTGTGCAATACTCCTGGTAAGGCTGAGAAAACTGTTCAGGCATGCCATTCTCTATGGTTTCCGGCCAGTGGTCTTTGAGATGACTGGTGAAGTGGGTGGCCTATGGAATTACAAGCCACAAGACAGTGAAGGTGAGGTTGAAAGTAGGAAAAGGTTCAAAAATGATTTCTAAACAGGATTTTCCAGAAGCATCTGTCATGAAATCAACGGTGATCAACTCGTCCAAAGAAATGAGTGCCTACAGTGATTTTCCGCCAAAACCGGATGTCGCTAACTATATGCATAACCGGAAATTACTCGAGGTATGAGCCAAAGTCATTGACAGTTCGTCGCTACCATTACATTTGTAACCTCTTTAATCGTTGGTTTTGAACAGTGCACCACATTTCATTCTCCCCTTTTCCCTCAAATTTTTCCAGGCACCCATGACGCTAGCAGACGTCTATGGGAACCAATACTACCCTACATTTCTCAAATTAAAAAAGTTCCCCATGTCTTGGAAAAAGCATTGCCCATTCAATCGGAAGCTTCCTACAAAGAAGAATAGCGAAAAAAATGAGAGGTAGCGGCCGTTACGCGAAATTGCTGCCGCGCAGCGAGACAACTAATTAGGACAACTATCTAAGACATGACGCTCGGCGAGTCAACTAGCCAGGGATCGCCGCGCGGTAGGAGATAATCGAGTTGCACATCCACCATAATAATCTTTTAACTAGTGGCCTTTTTCATTTCAAATCGGTGTTGAAAGTAAGTCAAAAAGGAGTAAAAGAATTATCAAGCGACAGTGATTCTGATTCCGCTGGCAAGCGTGACGGAGTTTCTCTGACTATAGTTCTTTTTTACTTTCGTTATACTACCTTGGAAATACCAAAATGTTTAGTATTTCCAAGAATATGCCGAACACTATGGTCTTCGAAAATACATCAAATTTCATCACAAAGTCATCAATGTGAGGAAATCTGTCGATTACCCGGTCACTGGGACATGGATGGTGGAATATTTGGATAAGTTCGTAGTTATTTATTGCAAGATTAGAAAGAAAATGACAGAATAATACAAGAATAGAATAAAAATGGAAGGGAATAAACGAAAATCTCGACGATGCAGACGACGAAGGCTTTTAAAAATAACCCTAACTTTCTAGTTCTCCAGTTTCTTCCGAGAAGATTGTCAATTGAAAATTTCTCCCAGCCCTATCCACTGTGTTTGTACAACTCTTTCTTCCCGGGAGAAACTTCGTGGTCAGTATTTCCCAAAGCGAACGTTATGATAACAGTCGGAGGGACTCCCCGGGGAACTAAAATCCATGCCATGCCCTATAAGGTTTTGTTGTTTCAACGGCCTTGCAGGAGACGGGCAGTAGGATCGGTCTTCTGTAATCGATACGTCGCGCGCGACTGTCGCGGACCATTTGCCTCGTTATAGCAGTTCCAGCGTTCTCCATACAGCTCAATCGATATGCGATCATTATTTTAGGCATGATTCTACTGATAGTTCTTTTGTTCCTGTATTCCTTAATATTACTTACCTGCTGCTTCATTGTGCTATATACCTTCACGCGCGGCCTCCCTCTCGCCGCGACGCGACAATTTCGATCCTACTGCACCACCGGCCCGTCCTTGTTCCTTGTGGGTTATGGGTTACATCACAAGCTTTCTCAAAGGGTTTACTTAACCAGAATCAGATACAAAAAGACTTTCTCAATTTCAGTGATGGTGGATGGCATAGTGAGGAGTTTCACGGAGTACTACTCTGCTGTGGTCATCACAAAGTTCCACATTGGCCAGACAAATGGCCTGGACAGGACGAGTTCAAAGGCTGCATTGTGCACTCACACGATTATAAGGAACCTTCAAGTACGTTCACTATCGCTCATTCGATGAATTACGCTACCGCATGGCTCATCCATCGATTTCTTACTGTTGTTTATAAACCATAAATATTTAATTTGAATGTTTTAGGCCGTAGAATAAACCTAATCCACTGATTTTTAGGGTACGAAGACAAGCGTGTTGTCGCGGTGGGCATTGGAAATTCTGGTGCTGATGTTGCTGTAGAACTTAGCCGGGTTTCAGAGCAGGTAGTGATTTAAAAGATAGCAAGCACCCAGCTGGGTAAAAACAGCGTGATCTGACTAACTGGCACTTCCCCATACCTGGTCCACAGTGTATGGCAAAACGTCAGTGCCTCTCCTATAAGGAGAAGTGTGGGCTACACCACAAGGGAATAGGAGAAACATTGGAAGAAAGAGATTCAGCTGGTATTACTCGGCCTTACGCTGGACCCAGTTCTGGAAGTCTTTGTATCTAGCGAACGACGAATTTCCTATGAGGAGGGAACTGGACACCCGGGTCTGAGGTGTTCCTGGGAGGACATCATTTCCCAACTTTACAAACTTGGCCGTACTTGAAAACTGTGACATCGAACATCACTCTTTTGATTTGCACATATCAACCTTATCGGTGGTCACCAAGCATGTCTTTGAACCAAACATAGCAACCAAGCGCCATGACGCTAACTTAGAAGGGCTGGCTGAAAGTTTCCTTCACAGGTCTACCTGTCCACCCGCCGTGGAGCCTGGATATTGAATCGTCTGCACACAGGCGGAATGCCGCTGGATACTTGCATGGTGGGCTCATAACTTGTCAGTGAAGATCCTGACTTAAACATCCTTACTTTTTTAAGGCTAGGCGCTTCACGCATAAGCTGATGTATTCTGTGCCGCGTGCAATTCGAGCTTGGTACGTGCAGAGGACGATCAACGCCCGTTTCGATCACGCAGTTTATGGGCTTCAGCCTGAACACGATGTTTTGGGGTTTGTTTGAGACCCTTGATCTTTCTTTTGGCCCCTCCTCCTTCTCTACCTTCAACATTCTATATTTTACTACTATTTTTTTTACTTTATTTTATTTTCCTTGAGTCTTGAAAGTGTAAGTTTACGCGGAGACTGTGGAACACACAGATAAACTGCGGTGTATGTCATGGCGATGTATTTGGCACGACATAGAGGCATTACTTTGTTATTCCAGCGCTCACACAACACAGAACGATGAGTTGCCTATTCGTATAGCAAGTGGGACGATTGTGGTAAAACCGAATATCGAGCGATTTACCGAGCATGACGTTCATTTTGTGGATGGCACGAAAGCCACTAATATTGACCATGTGAGACATTTAGTCCGAATTTTTCATCATGCTTTCAAGCGCTGTTTTGATCCTTTCATACATTTAGGTAATCCTCTCAACTGGGTACGATATCACATTTCCGATTATGGAAGACAAGGATATTATAAAGGTAAACTGTTAGGGGTTAGCGATTATTCAGTTCAAGCTCCCCTGATCTCAAAACGACGGAGAGCGTCCGTTGCGCGTGTCCGTCGAAAGTAGGTCACCCCGCCCACTTCGCGCGCGGTGCATCACACTGAGGTCTCGAGATGACAGTGCAGTACCACCAAGTGTCATCGGACCAAATGATTTGCATTTGTCTGTGTTATCTTCTTCTTGAACTGACTGCCGTGGACCAAACGCAAAGCGTATGCCCCAGTGACAATTGCGACGTCTGTCAAATATCGCGGGCCGACTCGCCGCGTGCGACGGCTGCGGCGTGACCTAATTTCGACGGACGCGCGCAACGAAGCGCACCCCAAAACGACGGAGTAATTCCTTCTGAGGGAGGTGCTGGTGAGTAGCCTGCAGTCACCCCCTAGTGTGTGTGCTTCACCTCACCCTCTTCATCTCACCCCAGAAGGAAAGTGAAGTGGAGCAATCCCCAGAGAGATGTTTCCCGAGTTTTTCAGAACCGAGCAAATTTTATTTTAAATTTGGATGAATTAATCCACAATCACCTAAGCACCTGGATTCTCGATCCACCTGAAAGAAATCAGCCTTTTTTGTGACCATAAACTGTATTCCCTATTCCCATATAGTGAAGTAACAGTCACGATCCAACAATTGCAATGGCTCGTTTCAGGTTCGCCACAACGTAGTCGATCTGTACAAGTATATGTATCCACTTGATCAAACTCATAACACATTCGCCGTGATTGGATTGATTCAGGTACACCTTGAATATAGCGAACTCACTAAAAATCTCACATGGCTGCATTTATAGTTAGCGATGCACTGGCGAGAAGGAGAGTAAGCGGAATGATTTAGATAGGTATTGATCATTTGACTCAGCTACTCGCGTCTTAAAATAATCAAGGAACCTTCGGCATAGACTCCTTTCTTGATCATTCTCAAGTAGTGAATTGTTGAATTGCGTACTCTGGCTGCTTCTTCAGGACTTTGGAAATCCCTAGGTTCACTTAGGTTCAGTGAACTGTAACAAAGTTGTCGATTTAAGTTCCAATAAATGAGAACTAATGAAAAAATTATTTATTTACGTACAGATTTTGGTCAATTTTGAAATTTTGTATAGAAGCCGTCTGTTCAGCCTGTGGGATCGATCATGCCAATCGCCGAGATGCAGGCTCGAGTGTTTTTCTCCGTGCTGTCAGGTGAATCAACCCTGCCCAGTGCGGACGAGATGCGCAAGGACATGCTCGCTAAAAGAGAGGCGATGAAAAAGCAATACGTCGCAAGTTACAGGCACACTATACAGGTAGGTGTCATCTTTCTTCTGTTGCTCAGTGAAGAAATAATAAGGATAAAGCCCAAGCGCTGATCAGTTTTTTTCTGTGACGTATGCGCCAGGCATTCGACTGCTAGTCTGAATTGTAGACCGTTCAGACAGTTCAAGGTGGTGAGTGGCAAGTGATGTCCGCCTAGTCATATCAAGTCTTCCATCCTTCCGGGGTTGTTAATTGTTACCATGCTCGTCTGGGAGGATAAAAGCCCTGACTCGTACACTGACTAGCCACAGCAACTCATCGGCCATCGGCCACATTCCTATCCATTACGCCACTACGATTCTAGGAAAAGGCGACTGCGTGGCGCATCTCAAAACTGTATCTATTATGCCAGAAACTTTATCCTTGTGCTTATTCTGATCTAGTCTAGCGAAGACCAGCACATGTGAGAGTCAATTATTTCTTGTCTCATTATCAGAGGGATCTGGACCAGTTCTGCCTTCCACGAATGGGTGATGATCGGGTAGGGCCCCGCCAAGTTCCCTTGCAAGGATCCTTGCAAGGATCCTCACGCTATTCTCCCCTGCCCAGAGAGCCTCGAAAGTGGAAAACAAGGCAGTTAACAGGAAAGCAGGCTTCCTCTATTCCAGGTGGACTACATTCCATTTATGGACGAGCTGGCAACGATAATTGGTTGTAGACCAAGATTCTGGCGACTACTTCTCTGGGATCCTCCCTTGGCAATCGCTGCCACCTTCGGGCCGTGTGCCCCGTACGTNGCTTCCTCTATTCCAGGTGGACTACATTCCATTTATGGACGAGCTGGCAACGATAATCGGTTGTAGACCCCGATTCTGGCGACTACTTCTCTGGGATCCTCCTTTGGCAATCGCTGCCACCTTCGGGCCGTGTGCCCCGTACGTCTACAGGATAGATGGCCCTCATAAATGGGACGGTACGTTGCCTTCTCTTAAATTTGAAGAAATAAAAAAAAATAGTTAAACAAAAATAATTCAGGAGCCCGTGATGCTATCCTTGGACTTCCTGATCGTGTGAAAAGCGGTGCTCTACCGGGTTATCGTCCACCAACCAGACCCAGAGGTGTTTCATGGCCGCTCATTATCATCGGATTCCTTTTTATGGTTCTTCCTCGAATACTCCCATATCTTCGTTACTATCTCTAATATTTCTTTGAAGTATGAATGGATAAATTGCTTGTCGTTGATCAATCAGTCCTGACTTGGGTTGCGCCACACACATCTGTCTTTCATACAGAATTGCAAAGACGTTTGATTGCGTATTCAGCCAATACAGTGACCTACAGAGCAGTCGATGAATAATCGGCGATTTTGTACACCCAGATGGGCCTGAATCCATCGACCAACTCTGAAGGGTAAAAGTCTTGGCCATACTGGGCACGTATCGATCCGGGATTCGATCCCTCAAATCGTCGGGTTGTTGTGGGGATCCCATTTTGTTTTGGAACATGGGAACATGGGGGGGGGGGGTTATTCTGCGCCGGTAGATCT